CCATCCGGTCTCAAAGTCGACAGGTTGCGCGCCACAAGTCGGCGTAAACAGACTAACATGGCAGAGTTGCGGATGAGTTTCAATGAGTGTGAGTTCATTCACTGTTAAAATAGTGTAAATTTGTAAACATATTTGCGAGAACTTTGTTTCATCGCAATTTCACAATTTCTACGAAATTCCCGGACTGTCCGGGTGAAAACCGAACAGGTGGTAACATTAGGAACAAAGAATGAACTGCATGCATCGATGAATCGAAATTCACATATTGCTAACATCGATTCAGGATCGATGTTTCAAAAACATCGGAAGGTCGATGCATCGACGAACAAAAACATCGATGCATCGCACAGCACTACCGTACACCACACATTACTAACATAAAAGCCGTCGCCTGTGTGAGAGAATTCCTTATAACTCCTGTAATTTTTGTCCAATCCAGATGAAATTTTGGTTATATTCGTTTTACGTTCCGACAGAAAGTATAGGCTACTTGTTTTGCGGAAATATTATAGAATAAACGTTTTATCGATTTCGGATCGGTGATCGCACTTACGTTGCAGTAACGTGTCGAGCATGAACACGTGCTCACCGCACGTCGGTGAGCACGTGTTCATGCTCGACAATGAAATTTCCCTTAAGTTGCATTTTCAAATATTTTGGCAAATTGCGTACTTTAAACTTACTTTAAATTTAAACTTTAAAAATGATAGCCAGGTGAGCTACAGTGGACGTCCTCTCCTCCCTTCGTCAGGCTTGTCTTAACCATTACGTTATAAAATTTAATGTTTTGTGAAATTTAGTTTTTGCATTTTATTATATTTATTTCAAAATTTCTTGTATCGACTCTACTTATGGTAAACTGATAAAGGTTTTAAGGGAAATCAAGTTTTGTTGGGCATCCGAAGATGGGAGGGGTAACGGATACTTGGACAAACTGGGACAAGAGGGGAAGTAGTAGTAAAAATTTCAAGAAAAATACACACGTAATTTATGGACAGCCTCTTAGCATTGCCATTGGTTTACTTATCCAGCTGTATTAAAGCCACTTTACCAGGCAATGCACCCATAATCTCATGATTTTTCTGAGGCCACTTGGTATAGGATGACACTAAATGTCTATGTTTTCCCAATCAATGGAAAAAAAGCAATTTTCATACTGCTGCATTTAGGAGTGAGCTCTTTAACAGTTACCGTAGCTTTTTGGAAAACTACTATTAATATACCACAATGTATTTTTTTAAGAATTTTTAATTTGAAAATTTATCAGTTAAAGGAAAAATTCAAGGAAAAATGTAAAGTCTATGAAATAAACACTCCAAAAAAGACCAAAATATGTTACGTATAAAAGTTTTTTAAAAAAACATCTTTATATTGTGTTTTCTCACACCTTAGGAACTAACAAAGTCACACAGCTAAGTTGACCTTTTTCTTGCAACACTTCTGCCTCTATATCTAAAACTCTGTCTTTGTTAGTTTCTGAAGTATAAAGAGAAAAGAAAAAATATTTTAGGACAATGTAATATATTTCAGTCTTTTTGGGAGTGTTTCTTTTATAAACTTTGAAAAGTTATCAATAAAAAAACAAAGCTATGTCAAACCCATGATAAAAAAACTTTGATACATTCATGCCCCTATTGGCTCATGACCCTGGTACCACTAAACTACTTTGCACCATTTTAATTCATGATTAATTGCTTATGTCTTGTATTAAGAAAATGTTATTATTAATGTACATTAAAAATATAAAATGAATATCATCTTTCAGAACAGTAATTGTTTTGTTGAAAAATTTTCTAATTTTAACTCTTATTAAATTTTGAAGTATAATACAGATAGAAAAAGAAAATTTATAAATAAATTTTTATTTAGCTCTGTACTAATTCGTTTTAAACCTCTTCCTACCCTATAAACACCTACAACCTATATGACAGGTCCATTAAAGGTTTAGTTAGGCCCACAATACTAGCCACCAGGTGAGTGTGAGGAGGCCTGATCATTCAAATAATAATAATGAGAATCTGAACTAGATGTCACTGATTGACTAAATTAATGCTAGACACTTTCACATTGTTAAGATATATGGGTGCCACAACTATGCACATTCATTATCGATCAATAGGGTTGACAAGAATTAGAAAACTGCTGAATTTTTAGAGCATAGAAAAGATCCCCTTTGCAGTGTACTAACAACCTTAACAGGCAGCCATTTGGTTGATTCAGGATTTGAACCAGAATCTCCAAGTGATCTTAGCCATCTCAGAAATAATTATCTAGCCCAGGGCTTCTTAAACTTTTTTTATTCACGACCCCATTTATGATTGTGATTTTTTTTGCGACCCAAAAAAATATAAAATAAAGATATATACAAATTTGCAAAAACAATAATGGTGTATTACTACAGTTCACTCTTGTGTTACAATGGAACAGAGATAACTGAATACACTGAAAAGCGACAACACTACACTAGTTCACACTACAGTGTTGCTGAATCATTGTCTCGCTGCACCAGAAGTGGCACAAAGCGCAACTCACGAAACCTATGACACAAACCGTGCCATTTTCAAACTCTCACAAATTATTTTCAATATTTTGCATTAAAATCTCGCAACCCCAAATGGGGTTGCAACCTATAGTTTAAGAAGCCCTGATCTAGCCAGTCAATTCAGAGAATTGAGAATAGAAAATCAAGAAGAAAAAAAAATGGCATTTGCCTTAAGCAAATCCTGATCAGATAGCCTTGTTATAAGACATTGTTCTACATCTGTGAGGTTTGGTTTCAAAAACAATATGGCTCTCAACTCATTCAGGATGGATGCCATTTCAGATATACTGTACTGTATAGTACATTAGCTGATCTTGTTAGGGTCTGACTAGCTCCCATTTGTTTTATAGTTAATAATATGCTTGGTATAATGTACCAAGCATGGCATGTAGAACATAACCCACTGATATTTCATTATTCACAAATTAGAAATGCATTTGCTAGTGTTTCAAAAACTTATAAAATAAATAATTTAAAAAAAATTTTAAACTGATTTCTATTCGTAATTTAAAATAAAGAATAACATTAACACTTTCTGTAAGTGAGATGACAAAGAAAAGTATCACAAAATGAAATTATTTGTATATTTTATGAAGTTTCAAATATTTTGATAAATCAAACAATTATTTTTCACTTGAATGAATTACTTCATTAAAAATTCTAAGTTGTAACAAACAAAAAGAATCTAAAACACAACAATCAAGTTATGTTCACTCTTGTAATTCATTCAATTGCTAATGAAATTTCACAAAATAAATTTTTAGTTGTATTAATACAATTAAATGCCATTTATGCAGATCAAACAGGACTGCACCCAATCTGGATTAATGAAAATGCAGATAAATTCCATACTGAAAACAAATTCACATGACTTAGTGGTTTGAAATAGGAACACAAAAACATTATTTTCATCCTGCAAATGTGAGATTGTTACATATGCACAGTATCTGTTAAGGCTGTAAACAATGTTTCAACATCATAAAAAAAATAATAATTTTTCTACAAAATGTGTAAAAATTTGAAAAGTAATGACTTCAAACCAATCCATATACTGTATACTGGAAATCTGGATTGAATGGGTTTGACTATGCTTAAATATTAAAATTAGTTTTCTAGAAAAAGAAAACTTTCTTTTTTTTTAAAAAGAAAACACACTTAATTTTACATTAACAGATGGTTATTCATCCATTAAAAGTTTATTACTATACCATATAATTTAAAATATAAAATACATTCAATAATTTTTTTTGTTAAGCACCGGTGTATTTGTTCAATGATTTGTATTAATATTTCTAAATCATTACTTTGCATTTTATTATGAAAAAACTGTTAATATCTTATGTTTGAATGTTAAGTTTGTTTTTATTTTATAAAACATCAAATTTTTAATAAATATAAATGCTCTACAATGCAAATGACAATCATTGAATGTAAAGATATGTATTTAAGTGAGTAATTTGTTTAAATCCAATTCATAATGCTTTTCTCAGAAAAAAAAAGAAAACTTTGAAAACAAGCTCTTTCTGATTATACTCTATCATCAGGAGTCAACAAGAGTGAGAAATCTCTCTTATTAAGTCCTGATTACGGATATATAACTCAAAAGCACTGAAGTGCATTTTAAGAAATTTCACTGCAGATAACCATTTTGAATTAGGGTTTATGAACAAGAAGAGTCTTTAATAAGCATGTAAATTTATGGACAGCATGAATGAAGCAAACAAAGGAACAGCCTACCACTCTGGGGAATCCATGATCGAATCTGGGCAGGCAAAGAATTCTAGGAATTTTCATGGATGTCTCCTCCAGATATGTCAAGGCTCTCACCACCTGGCTGCCTCCATTGAGAGATTGGCCAAATGGACCTGGAAAAAGTTCTCTTCATGCCTACAGGGCAGAGACAGTTAAATTTTAAAATATCCAACAATGAGTTGCTTAACTTTCCCAGCAACATTTGGTGGTGCCATCTGTTATGATATTTTATTATTAAAACCTTTTATTTTTAACTATTGTAAAATGGCAAAAAGTTTAATTTCAAGGATAGGGATGGATTTTATAAAAAATTGTAAATGCTAATAACATGTAAAAACATCAAGTCTGACCCTACTGAATATATACATGATCCCCTTTATCTCCCCACCCCCTTGACCTTTACTCACCAAAATTTAATAGAATCAAGCCTCTAATAAACAATCCTCCCTACAAAATTTCAGAAATTTTTAACGAAAAGCATAGGAGTTATTAAGCTTCAAATAGGGTGAACAAAATCATGCCCCCCCCACATACATCCATACATACAGAAATTACCCCTGAATTTTTTGCATTTCTTGATGTTCAAGGTCCAGAGTCTAAAAATGTAAAAATCTGGGGGTTCATTTTTTGACCGATTGCCATGTTTCCTCTCTGTTATATATAACAGTTGGGATAGAAAAACCAAATTTGTAAATTTAATGATAAAACTCTGCTAATTTTAAAATTAAGCAGTTTTTATTTTGATGAAGAACCAGTACATCATTTTTTTGTGATTATAGTAGGATTTATTATATAAAGACCCACATTGAAAATTCATAGGAACCTCAGTGTAGTCTTAAAACATTATGTAAATTGGAAAAAACAGAATTACAAGTTAAAACATTAGTTTGATAAATTTAGAATATACAAATCCCAAAATGAATATTGTTTACTGATGTAACCTTCTGCTTCTTTAATAACTAACTTGCAAATTACTCTGATGTACAGTACAGTACATTACACAATTAAAAACAGAATAAATAACATTTTATTAAAAAGATATTCCTAGAATTTAAAATGTAATAAAAATTGATGTAACCATTCTTTATATTTATTGCAACAAAATCTGTTGAACTATACAAGAGACAATATATATTTTCAATAAGAATATATCTATAGGGACAATAACAGACATCATCCAAATACATATGTTGTGCAATATGGCAAGGAAGGTAATCTATATTCACTCTAGGGATTTTTTTGTTTTTTTTAATGAGGTACAAGGCAGTGCAAAATGTATTGAAAATAATACACTTAGTTGTTATATGTTTATAGTTAGTTTATACACCAATATATTTTGAGTGTATCTGTACATCTCTAATTTCTGATTAGAACATATAGTACTGTATCTTAAACTAAGTCACAATTTTGCCGATATTTACATATGTTTTCTCACATATTAATGATATCATAACAAAAATCAAGATTTGTCTTGAGTTTTTTGAAGTTATGTCTTTTTTTCCCTTCTTAATAAGAAGTACATTATGTTACAAAATAGTACAATGAATCATGACTTCTTCCAAACATAGAACATTTCAAGAGGTTTGTTCAATTTCCAATACTTTCCATTTATCTGATCCAGAGTAAGACTTCCGTTCAGAGGTATGTATTGATCCAGGGAGGTTGTAATATAAATGGTGAAGAGAGAATTTGTTTCTGGAACCTCATTTCCGATGTCATCTGTCTGATGGTCAAATGCAAGTCTCATGGCTAAATATTTTGCTAGGTGATCAACTAAAAATTAAATAAAACATTAAGTTTAATAAAAATGTCAGCAATTGCTAGATTTAACTTATGTGGTAGAATCAAAAATAAACTGAAATTTTGATATAACCTTTATACATTAATAGTCTATGTATTTACAGAAGACCACCTTCAAAATTACTTCTGCAGTTACTCATTTCTGCCAGCATCCACACCAATTATCAAAGCAATCTTGGAAGATATTTCTTATTATGTCTTTAAGGGCTTTCATTGCTGCAGTTTCCAGATTCAGCTACATCAGTCTTTTCTGGTTAATGAATATCTGACCAAGATGGGCGTAACAATGCTTCCTCAACTTCTTTATCTCTTGATCTTGTGCTCCAAACATTTATCTATTCCCTAAAATGAAAGAGAAGTTGAAGAGTTGCAGATTTCAATCAGCAGCAGAGGTGGAAGCAACAGTGACAAGAAAATTATCATAAAAAAATAATAAATAAATAAAATAGCTTCCAGAACTGCTTTAATAAACAATATGGACAAAGGCAGATGTACCGTATGTAACTACAGTAGGAACTTATTTTGAAAGTGGCATGGTGCAAGCATTTCTATGTATTGTGTAATGACATCTGTGTCAAAAATAAACCAAACAGGTTGATTACATACTCCTGCACATATTTTGAAACAATATAAAAGAAAAGATAATTCAACTAAGATGACAATTTGCAGCAACAGAAGAACCTAAATAGTTTTTAATATTAAGTAACAGATGGTGTTTCAATCTATCCAAAACCAAAATGTTAACATTACAGGAAAAAAGCAGTGTACACTGTGACAGACAAAATCAAGTTATTGTCCAAGTCATTCATTCAAATGATAAATTAAGATGAAGTAAATTTACACAGGTGATGCTTTTTTATACTGAGGAGGAAAATCAATACCTAACTAAAAGTGTTTCTTTGATGAAGCAACCTTTCATCTAATCAGCTGGTTAAATGAACTGTTTAAATGATCAACTATTTTCTTCATTCTACTTCTCCAAGTGTTTGGTTGTCTTTATTAGTGCTAATTGATCAAATAATCTAATTTCATTTGTTTCTGTTCATGTTCCTTAAATTCATTGAAACTATTCTAAATTTCATGCTACCCAGACATCTTCCTCAGCAGTATCATTCAAATTTATGATCCTTATCAACATAGAATAAATATTTTCTAACAAATCACAAATTCAGAATACAATATACAGATATGTTTAATATACAAACTGAAGAGCTAAACTTCTTTGATTTTCAAAACACTAGACAAAAGGTGAAGATTTTACTAAAATGGTAGAATGGCTAGGACATAGGGTGAAGTACTGTCTTGTTTGTACAATACATATGGTCAGCCTAGTTTGGACATTTGTGTCAAAGTTGAATGAAGTTTTCGAGATGAATTGGTAGACATGAGCCTATTTTGTGGCTTCCTCAATCACCAGATATTACATCTTTTGATTTTTTTATGTTAAAAGCTTCATCTACACAATACCAAATCCAATTCAGTTGTTCTGAAGAACAAAATTGTATAGCTTCAGAGTGATTAGATGGATGTGTTGCAAACTACTAATGGTTTTTTATTTAGGTTTCAATATACAACTTTTCAATATACAAGGTTTCAATATACAAGTTTTCTTTTACTGTCACAAACTATACTATCTTAGTCAATTACTTTTTCTGTTACATTGTTTCAAAATGTAGGCAGGACTTTGTGACCATCTTGTATTTATTTCTTAGAAGATCATTCAATAGAATATTTGATACTTCAATTACTCAAACATGGTAAAAATAAATCAAATCTTATTCTAATATCTGTCCATTCTAAATGAACAAAACTCTTTAAGATCAATATTTTGTAGATATTTAAACAAAAATATCTTTTAAATGTTTAAAATGAAGAGGACTATTCAATACCCAAAATGAATATTCAAGACTTAAAACAATAAAAGTTCAGTTACTTAAATCAAATAATAAAATTTGATAATAAAAATGTATTTAGTACAAGCATCAGATTGGATTTTGAAAAAAAAAAAAAACAAAACAAAACAACTTAGTCAATGGAACATTCTTTTCACACTCCAGCCTGATGCTGGTACCAGCATTCTGAAAATATTTATCAGTTTTTCTCATCTAACTTCTTAGAGATGAACTTTTATTAGTTGTTATAATAATTACATGAGTTAAAAAGAATAGATGTATAGTTAAAGAAAGTAATTTTTATATTCAGTACAATTCTTCAAAATATTGAATATCCTATTAAATAATCTTCATAAATACAGAATTATTATAAAACACTTTGATAAAACATAAAATGTTTTATCAAATATTATGATATATTTATACATAATTCATATTGCAGATTTCTAGATTTGATAATATGAGTATTTACTAAAAATTATTAAAAGCCAAACTAAATATTCAATAGTTATAAATAATAAGATTTGGGAATTTGCCAGAAAATTAAGAGGTTAGATTATTAAGAGCCAAATTAGAAAGAGTTTACTGTATATAAAGAAGTTAAAATGAAATTAAGAAAAACTTAAAAACTTGAATTCATTTGAGAGAATCACAGATACAGATATTTACATGTATTACTAGGCTGATCATAAATTTTTGATACCAAATGGAATGGGATGTGGCAGGTGATTAAAATAGGGCATCTCTTATTAAAATTTCATCAAAAAAATAGAGGTGAGCATTATTAACAATTTGTTAGTAGATTATTAGTGATATTAATTTGTTGACATAAAAAAGAATATGCAAATTTTTTTAAAAGATTTTAATGAAAAAGTACATTTTTATTAAAATATGATATCAAATTTAATAGTAAGGGTGATGTAGAAGGTTTCTTAACATCAAACCAAGCATATTTTTCAAATGAACTTAATTTGTTTACATTATTTTGTTTAAGTTCTGGTCACTTGCAATTTTATTGTAAAACTTATAAAGCAAAACTGTGGCATACAATGCAATAATTACATTTTTTCATAGTTTCAATATTTAATTTCAACTTCTCTTTCAGCCATAGGGAATTCACAAGTGAAAATATTCTTTCTATAGAAGATATAGTTCCCAAGAGGGGAAAAAACTAATTTTATCAATAATAATTAAAATGTTGGAATTCATGATCCTTTTCATGCACTTCATTAATTATTTTGACTCATCTATCAACTATGCTGATTTTTTTCTTCAGTCAATTTCTTCAAATGTTTTATTATTAATCTTTATTAGAGAGGTTGCAGCTAACATTTTCACAATGAAAACTTTGGCCACAACCTCTCTATTAGCATCCAATTGCTAAATTTCATCCAATTCCATTTGTGTAATATGTGTTCCTTAAATTCATTGCAACTATTCTGTAAACTATATTTCATGTTATTTCTTCCTCAGTATCCATTCAAATTTAAGCATTTCCTAGCATATCATGAGTTTTGAATACAATATACAAATGTGTTTAATAAAACAAGACAAAAGTGAAAATTTTACTAACACAACAGAGTAGCCAGGACAAAACAGATGATGTTATATATGTATTACCAAGTATATATGGTAATGTAAGATAATTTTAAAAAATATCTTTTTTTGTTTGTTTTCTTTTTATTTCTTTCTGTAATTTTTGGTTTTAAGAAACTTTTTAATAATTTTTTCAAAGTTGTAGATTTTTACTATGACAAAAGTAAGCTAAACATAACAGTTAATCTAATTAGATGAAGTTTTACAAATATAGTTATATATTTGTAACTATATAGTTACAAACATCCAAACCTGATAGTTATATATTAAAGCCAAATGATTGCCAAATTATATTGGGCTATATTGCTACTACTATTAGTAGTAATAGTATTAATAATAATAGTAATATAGTCCAATATAATTTGACAAATATTTGGCTCTAATAGATGAAGTTTTTTCTTATCTTTACCCAAGTTATTCTTTATAATTTACTTAATGCAAATATTTAATGCAAAATACATTTTTAACTAAAAATATACCATAGCAAAAATAGGTCCGACAGACAACCACAAGTGCAAACATTTCTGCAAGAGATATTTAAATACAAGAACAAGTGGTGATCACAATAATAGAAGTTTTAATTTTGTGATGACCAATGATTTTTCTCATTACTACAAAATGATGAAAAAATTGTTACTTGCCACCCAATTTCTCACTTTTCTGACCTAAATAGCCTTTGTCTAAAATTAAATATATTTAAAAAAAAATCAATGCTTAATTCCTGCTTGATATTTATCAAATATACAATAAAGAATCTACTTGGAAAGTTTCTAACCTAATCTTCCTACAGGGCTTGTGCTAGACTTTAAATATGCTGAGTCATTTTGACTTGTGAATCAGAAATATGAGTCAAGTACAAACAATTACAAGTAAAATTTAAAAAATTAAATTTCTAATAGTCATTGATTTCATTTAATTAAATACATATTTATGACCCAGTTTGATTCAGACTGCTTACTTACAATAATGTGAATTTTAATTTGAAATATAGTAGATGAATATGCTACAAGATAAAAGAAAATTACATTTTCTTCTTCTGTCTTTTTACATTCAAATGCTTTCAATAGCTCTGCATTTGGAAACTGAAAAACTGATGGGCCATTTAAGGTGATTGTCATCAAGGTTTTTCAATTATTATTTTCAAGCAGCTCTGTTGAGAGCACTTTATCCTAAATGCTCTCACATAGAGCACTGTTCAATGATAAAACTAGACCACAAGTGTGATATGCTTGCTACAATACATTTATTAATTGTGGTTTAATATTCATTTAAGCTTTTAATTTATTTCCATTTCTACGAAATTTTATAATTTACAAGAATTAATAATAAAATGTCTTCAATTATTTTCCATTCTTGCTAGTTATTTTTCTGTATCAATTTACCAAATTATATTATTCCTAGAGTTGTTTGTTATAGATTTTTGTTTGTTATGTGTGTTAACTACTTTTAATAACTTAATAAACTAAAATAAAAGTAATTGACAAAATTAAAAAACTAAATGTAATGCATAGTAGTACACTTACTGTTAATAAACTTTTAATTTTCTGAATTTAATGATACTACTGATAGGTAAACTATTTATCAGAAAAAACTAAGTAGCCCAAAAAGTCATCCATATGATTAAAAAATCATAACCTTTATCATTTGAACACTAGGGCCATCCAAACATGTACAGTTTAAGAGGAGGAGGAGGTGGTTGTGAAAAAGTATATCATTGTACACAATGGAGAAGGTGGGGGTTGAGGCATTGTCTACATCAGCAGTTCCCAACTTATTTTTATTGTGGAACCCTTTTCACCTTAGTAAAAAACATTGGAACCCTGATATTTTTTAATAATTATAGATAAAACAAGAAATAGAAACAACAAAAAACAATTTACTGAAAATGAAAAAAAAATCATCATAATACCAGGCTGCAATTTTTAATCATATTCTTAATTTATCCAGTTTTTTAATTTAAAATATACAGGTAACCCCCGTATAACACAGGAGTTACGTTCCAAAAAATTGCCGTGTTATGCGAATCCGTGTTATACGAAACAAAGAACTAATACGAAAAGGAGGGTTAGGTTCCAAAAATTAAAAAACATGCTATTATATTTTCATAATTAAGATAAATATCTTCATAAAAATTTTTTAAGTGATACATATTAATATAAATTAAACAATGTTTTCTTCGTCATCACTAAAAACACTATTAATTAACCGAGAGCGTTTTCTTTTTAGCAAGTTATCCTTATCCTCTGAGCATTTTTCTGCATTATCTTCAGATCCATGCTTTACCTTTTGCAAAAAGTATGTAATTTTAGATTGCTTGCTTCTAGTTAAAAGGTCTTTATAAATTTCCTTATATGGTGCTAAGCACTTATGAAGAATAAAGCAAGTATGGAATAAGGGGAAAACATTCGGCAACATCAGAAGCAGAAGCGTTGAGATCTGGCAACATTGAAACAAGTTTCGAGAAGGACAAGGTGTATCGACAGAAGGCGAGAAAAGAAAATTTACACACTGAAGTACTAATTGTTCACGAAAATAATAATTTTTGTCAACTATTAGTAATTAAGTATGTAAAAATTTATTATAATACATTTCATGTTGTACGAGGGTTTTACCCAATTCTCGAACCGTGTCAGAGTGAATCCGTACTATAAAAGTACTGTGTTATACAGGGGATGATACCAATTCTCAAACCGTGTTAGAGCGAATCCGTGCTATAGAAGTGCCGTGTTAAACGGGGGTTACCTGTACATTCTCCATCTCAAATTAGTATCTTGCCCCTGTACATCATACTTTTCCTGATAACAACAAAGTCATGCCAGTCATCTATGTAACCCCCATTCAGGGGAAAATTTTTGAATTGAATTCACTTGACTTCCAATATAACTATACACAAACTTACACTGGAAGTTTGTGTATAGTTATCAGGACCTCCTGCATAAGCTTTCCATATCTGGTCTTGGCTTTCATATATCTGACATCATTCTTGAAATTAAGGAAGGACAGACAGTGGGAATTTATAGGTCTACAATTTTTTCAAATTGCAGTCCAAATACTTAAACTATCACAAAACAATTACAGTGCATAACTCTGACTGATATGTCTGCCTGTACACTGTAGTGTGTTGTACTATCTGTAAACTACAACACACTACTCTATAGTGTGTTGTAGTTTACAGACAGTGTAACAAACAACCTCTGGGAATAATATAATTTGGTAAATTGATACAGCAAAATAACTAGCAAGAATGGAAAATAATTGAAGACATTTTATTATTAATTCTTGTAAATTATAAAATTTCGTAAAAATGGAAATAAATATAATGACATAAATAAATTAATACCTTGGTTACAGTGACGCTCATCTAACACAACTGTCCATCACTAGTATCTGTAGATGGTAGTATGCACAGTACCATCAGGCATCTGACTGGCCACTCCCATCATTAGATTCAATAGGCTTGCACTATAGATATTGGCATATTAAAGTATATTTAATAATTTTATTATTTATATATTATATTTATTCATATAGTATGGTTATTGAAACCATGACGTCATATTATTTTACACGGCCGACATACTTTTTTTTAACTTAAAAAAATGTGTGAATATAAAATAACTAGATTTTTACATACAAATTCAATTATATTCTTTCACTCAGCGTCAAGCATATTTTTTATAAGCGCATCATAGAGATGGTGAGATGTTCGAGGCGGCAGAGTCCATTCTGTGAAATCTGATTCCACTTCGAGCCGGATTAGCAAAAAAATTTCATAGCTAGGCTAATCTGGATGTGTAGATCCCGCTTCTTACCAATTTGTCGCTTCGTTGTGAGCCTGTACGAAGCAATGATGAGCTTGCTAAAAGAAGGTCCTCACATGGTAGAATTTTAAAAAAGTGTGCTTGCTGAATATCGCGTCTTAAAGTATTATAACTTATTTAAAATACAAAATTATTCATTTCGAATTGTAATTCTCGCCAATAATTAATTGAATTTTTTATAACCGCAGTCTTTAATTTATTTTCTAGCAGTGTCTTCGTAGTTTGTTAGTCATAAAATCTTATACAAACACATGAAAGAACAAATCAACAAAAATAATATATTCATTAATTTAAATGAAAAAGTATTTATTATTATTATTTTGTAATAAATTTAATCATAAAAATTTTCAAAAATTATTCGGTTCTTAACAGTTTTAATTTCAAATTATATCCTGAAACTGAGAAAAATATTGATTACTGTAATTAAATCTCTTTCTATATTTAAATATTTTTGAGAACAAAACTTTACCTTGATTTAATTATATTGAATATGAATTAAACGTTTATAAATTTAATAATTTATAGATTATAATTAATTAATAAGCATCCTTGCTTTTTTCCACAACTTCATTCATCTGCTTGAAGACATTGATGGTCGCCTCATTGCACGAATGAATACCTATCAACACAACTATACAAACACACATTTCTCTTAATTAATGAGATTTAAATTCTTTATTATATGTGTAAAATATTTAAAATAAATTAAAAATTACTTTTGTTATTTTGACATTTGATTAAAATGCAACCAAGATTTCGTTTCCTTGCCAGAATAGCATTATCTATATTTGTTAGATAAATGAAACGAAGAGCTTTCAGTGTGACTCCAGTTGAGAATAGCATTTCTGGAGAGTCAAATCCTTTTTTGATGTTTTTTATTTCCTCCGGACTTACCTAAAATATTATCTATAGATTAATTGAAAGAAGTTTTTAGTTTGTTCGAATTAGTTTAATAAACTGCTGGTGCTAAATATAGGGTTCGAGTATCAAATTAAAGATCTAATCCTGTGGATACCGCTGCTGAAGAGAAATTTGAGAAATATGCGATTGTGTCAGGGGTGACGGGTTAGCAAAAGTACAATGTTAAGTCTACAGGACAAACATATCGGGGGGCTTGCGCATCATAGAATGGTTTAATTTTTTAAACCGTTCCTGTTTTTTTAACATTAATAAATTCATAACATAAATTTGTACTTCGCGTTGATCGGGCTTTTGATTGGGTAGAAATTCTGCATGAATATTCTTTGAAACCCTAGAAAAAATACTGTGAAGTCCCGTCTCCCAAACACCCATAAAGCCCACTTTTTGTTAACTTTAGTCCAAGAAATTCTTTGTGTTTTGAAGTTTCATTATTGTAAATACAGTATACCCCCCTATAACATGGGTTCCTATAGTTCGGATTCCTATATGACAGCGAAAAAATTGCGACGGTATCCATACAAACTAGTTAAAAAAAACTCCTATAATTCGGTAAAACGTCATCGGGCAGCCGAACTACTTTCCGCCGNTTTCGAACTCGATATTCGGAATTACTTCAGGTGTTTGGAGTAAAAAGAAATCGGCCTCTGAAAATCGGCAAATCTTATCCATGTATATATAGTCTGTCAGTGACTTTTTTACTTGCCGTGACTCATGATTTATATGTTTGATAGTTTTAAGGTTATTTTTTAAATGGTTTTCTAGCTTTAGGTTAAATTTTACCATTTTACAGTTTTTGTTATCTTGTCAAACATTATACAATCAATCAATCAATCAATCATTATTTTATTAAGGTGTGAACACACACATCCTGGCCCCGCATAATAGCATTACCAAGAGTAAAGAATACATCAAACATTATACAGTCGACCCCCTATAACACTGTTGATTATTCTGCGTTTTATATGAATTCCATGTTGTACGAGTCACTTAGATTTTACAAATACATGTGCCGAGCTGTGAACAGCTCACGTATTTGTAAAATCTAAGTAACTTGTACAACACGGAATTCATATAAAACGGAATAATCAACAGTGCTATGGGGGATTGACTGTATCATGATTTCGGTTCATTCCATTACCAATAAAATCTGACCTCCCTATTTATAAAGCTATAAATAACTCTAGCACGTACATAGGATGTCACCAGAGGACTCCATCCAAGATTACAACAATTACATCTTACATCTCAAATCTGCATTGGCACATTCATACATCACTAGACTCAACATATTTTACTGCAGAACTAGATTTTACTGCAGATTTTACTAGGGTTCCATGGAACACAAGTTGGGAACCCCTGGTCTACATGAATTTTAGTACTATTAGGAATTCATTTTTATAAGCCTATTTACTAGTGACGTGAATAAACTATCAGAAAATATTTGCAAAACTTTTTTTTTAACTAAGTCATTTCTTCAATATCAGGGGCTCTATGAAATATTGTACACATTAAAGGGGAGGAGGTTTGCCAAAAGTATGTAATTGTACACAACAGGGAGGGAGGAGTTCAAAAGTGGCTCAAAAAATTACACACACAATTAATTACAGTTTCACTCAAAAAATAATTCAATTCCCATTTTTTCACATAATATAGTAATGTGTTTGGCCACATTACTGATTATAATGAAAGACTGGTCACATGCATTTGTTACAATAATTATTCATAAATTGGGAAGAGCCTATACTTACAGAGTTGAGAAATATTGACTCACAAGTAAGAATTGTAGACCTCCTAATATTGAAGAAATAAAGTTATACAAACATTTTCTTACTGATAGTTTATTTGCACAATTACTAAGATTCATATTAGTGGTATACAGATTTGTTATTATAACTAAAAATATCTAAATAGACAATGCCTCAACCACTCTCTTTAAACTGTTAATATAATTAATGGATGGCTGTAAAGAATACTTTTAAATCAAAAAGGTTTCCCCTGGTGACGATACTTTACATTCATAATTCGTAAGTTTTTTTCCGTCCTATGGTTCTTTTTATTTTTTATTATTTGAAGACAATTCGTCCAAGTAGGAATCACCATTTATTAGTTTTCTGCAGTTTAGACGATACAATTTCGGCAACCGACCTTCCTTTCTAGGCTACTAGCCGCCAACATTTTTTTAAAAAAGTCCTTTAAAAAAACACAAAAAAACACTTCCAATTAAAATACAAAAATTTTCTAAAATCGGAACTGGTGGTTTTCGAATGTCTTTCCTTTTACCATCTGTACCCTTTGGAGTGTTTCGGCCTTTTATCCACAGACAAGTGAGCGCTGGAAAATGTAGATCAAAAAGATTCCCCCTGGTGACGATACTTTACAGTCATAATTCATAAGTTTTTCTGAATTGTCTTCAAATAATAAAAAATAAAAAGAACCATCGGACGGAAAAAAACTTATGAATACTTTTAAATCAGAAGAAAAGCAATTTTGATAAGATAAATTTAAAAGTCAGAAATTTTAACTTTCACATAGTATAATTTTATCATAATTTTAAATCTACAATGCTAAATGATTCAAAAGAAACTCTGAGTTAAAAAATTATAAAATATGGTTAAATTATTTTGTAATATATTATTTTGTCAATAATTTTATTACAAGATGCCATTGGCCTTTATTTATACTTTTCACATTACAGATTTAATTTTGTAATAATTGTTAACTGCATTACTTTATTACATTAGAAGGGAAAAAATTCAATAAAAATGTTAACATATTCTAATAAATATTGATACTTTAAACACTTCTATAATAACCTGTTTACTATGTGAGAAATTTTTAAATAGAGATTTAATTTTTCTGAACTTTATTTTAAATCATATTGATCCTAACAGAAAATATAAGGGATAGTCCGTTTCAATCAATCAACTAGAATAACTTGGAAAATATGCATCCTACAAAAAAATTCATGTAACAAGAACTGTTGGAATTCAAGGGCCATAAGACTTCAGTTTCATCATAGATGGCACTAATCAGTGAAAATGGGGTCAACTCCATTTTATTAAATGGAACTTATCTAAAATAGTTTTATGAAATATGATGCATTTATCAGAAATTATTAATGTTTGAAGTTTTACATAGCTGCCAGACCATGCACAGGTGAATCTATGAATATCTGTGAAGTTCATTGAAAAAGAAAGAAAAACATTCAAAAAATCTTTAGGAAATTATTAATATTTGGTGGAACCATGACCAATATCATCTCTTTATCACAAGCTTGATGATTTAACATGCTATGGCAGTAGTTTTTTTTATCAATTTATTACTTGAAGGAGAAAAAAATGAATCCACCAAATAATAGTAGTTCCCTAGTAATCATTTCAGCATTTTTATTCCTTTTTTCAATGAACATTAATAGATTGTTAAATATAATAATAATAATAAATTGTTAGATTATAATTTTATTTAATTCAGTGTTTCTCAACCTTTTCTAATAGTGACATCTCAACTTAGAAATTTTTTTTCTTGTGGCATTCCACTTCTTTATTAATGTAGTTATTGCATCTTTTATAATTTTAGTAATACACAAAAGAAGTATTATGGCACTACTCAGCACTATATTACACAGTACTCCTGAAATGTAGCAGGAACCTTGATTGAAAACAACTGATTTAATTTATAAATGTCTTCCATAAATAATGTTAACTTATATTTTTATAAATGTAGTCAGTCCTTGATATAACAGTCCTCAATATAGTGAATTTTATAATTGCCAAAGCACACCAAATAAAAATAATCATAAATACACAGAAAAGGACTTTCTGTAAGCATGAGAAAAACTAATTTTTTCAAACAATTTTCATTTCTTTTAACAGAAAATAAATAAAAACTGTAATCCTTACAGTATGATTTTGTTTTAAAAATATTTTTAAGTGTAGAAAATACAGATAAACCGATTGGATGATTCTCAGTATGTATGTATTTATATTTCATAAGTTAGCAGTTTTGTCACTGTTGCTCTTCCATTTATTATTACTTTTTCCTGATTTACATTACATACCATTGCTATTAAAACTGTTTTAACTTAGACATTTATTTGCTATTATATTAAAATCATATAAATTAACATGCCTTTCTATTTAATGAATATTTGCACTAACACACTTCCTCCAATAAATCAAGGATGAAATTTCCATATTACAACATTACTTAAATTATAAAATTGACTTTATAATTTATTATAATAGTTTATGTACTATCTTTTATACTTATTTGAAAATCTAGAATAAATGAAATTTTTGATAATTTCAACTTTATAAGAAATCCCAAACTATATGAATTTAAAAAGTACTATAACTAAGTCAATACTGTATGTGCTTTTTTTCTTAGATTTAATTCAAATAATGATAGATCAAAAAATGAAATTGTTTTATTTACAATAGCAAAATTAAATCCAAGCAAGTCCAAAAGGGTAAAGTTAAAAAATATTTTTCAATTTAGTTTGTGAATTTTTACAATAAAGGTAAAAAATTAACAAACTACATTATAATGTTACTATAGTGTACAGTAGACTAAGAAGGAATTGAATAGGCACAAAGTAAAAAATTAGATACAATATACTGTTTTATTAATAGTGACATGTTTCTGTTTGAATTACCAAATGAAAGGTGTTAACTCCCAAAACCTCCCATGCACAAGGCCTTACTTAAACCCAACTTGTATACAATTTACCTACATGTTAAAAAATTATTTTTATTTATTCCATCCTCATAATGTGATCCAATATAGCCTACTTTATTATAATTCTTAATGCATATGCATTTTGGGTTTTAGCCCCTCTTTAGTACATGCTTTATGTAATATATTTAGTAAAAAACATTTTATTTATTTATTAAAGTTACGAAAACTTTTATATATAAAAAATGTTACTAAAGATGGTTAAATAATTTTTTAAACAAGATCATGTTTACTTGTGT